CTGAGCGCTAGGATTTTAGACGGCCTCTTCTTGCACTTAGAAGTCAGTCCGGTTAAGGTGTTGTGAAACCTGCCCTCACACTTGTCAATCTTCCTCAGTTGCTTCTGCGCCTCTCTATACACGCGCGCGTAAACAAAAATCATAACAAGCAGGGGAATGTAAAAAGATATGACAGATGAGGAGATGGCATATGCCCTGTTGGTGACAAAGTCGCAACATTCAGGGTCCTCGTAGCAGGCAGTGTCCACACTGTCCCGGGACCAGTGCATCAGGATGGGGAGGAAAGACACCAGCGCAGAGATGGCCCACACAACGCACACCATCGTTTTGGCCCGAGCTTTGGTTAACAAGCTTTGGTAGCGGAATGGAGAGGTGATGGCCACGTACCTGTCTATGGCGATAACGCACAAAGTCTCGATACTGGCCGTGACGCACAGGACATCCACGGAAATCCAAAACTCGCAGAAAAAGGAGCCGTACATCCAGGAGCCGCGCACCTCCAGCGCGGCGCCAAATGGCACCACCAGCAGCCCCATGATGAGGTCCGCACTGGCCAGGGATACGATGAAGACATTGGTGAGGGTCTGCAGCCTCTGCGTTTTGGCTATGGCCACGATAACCAAGATGTTCCCAAACACGATAGACACGACAATCAGACCCATTAATAGGCTCATCCCTGCCATCCACTCCTCGGACGCGGCCGCAGCGGAGCCCGGTGCGTCCGAGGCATTCTGGAGGTTCACCTGCGAGGACGCGCCGCCGTCCCCCATGACGGGCTGCTGCGCTGTGTGCGGGACCAGATCCAGTTCATCCAGGCAGTCGTTTCTACTTTTTCGCCGTCGCACGAGCCACAGCTCCTCTCCGGTCGCGAGCCAATTCCATCTGGAGGTCCTATCTCACCCTCAGCTTACGCGAGCTGCTGCACTGGCCCGGCACATCGAAGCAGGCGGTGACATCACTGCTCCTCAGGACCAATCAAAGCAGCTCAGAGGAGAAATTGTCAAAACAATAAAGTGGAGGGAGCAAACAACACCTGAACCTCAACAATTATTCATTCAGCGTCACCTTTGTGTCATGTTTTTATAATGTACTACATTGAAAAGCAACACTTTCATTCAGGAAGAGGAGGACATTTATGGCAAGAGTTGTAACAACATCCTGAATCTGATATTTGTCAAAGAGTCTGCCTGTCTTTGGGAACATGACAAGCCAAACATGGAGATTCAAAATCCACCAGGATAACTTTATGGATTTCACTGGTTTCATCGCTTGCCATCACAAACAAGATTTGTTTTTCTACTTGTTCACTTCATATTTTTATCACAAAGAATACATTCCACAGTTATGTGGTCAGGCCCCACCACAGATCTGCTCTGTATGAAACTCCCTAACAATGAGCCAAGGGTTAAGACAATCGGGGACAAACCAGGGCCAGGTTCATTAAAATATGTGTTAAACATATTAAGGTTGTTCAATATTTACAAGATAAGTTCAAGGTTGATTTATCCTACAACCAGCAGAACAAAGCAGCAATTTAGGCTGAGGAACATAAGGCAGACATGTTATACAGTTGAAACAATGTAACACAAAGATAAAATAACTGAAAAACAACATAAGAAACTACAGAGGAGAAAAAAATAAAAGATTTAGAGAAGTGATTGAAAAGTTGAGTGTGCTGATTTGGCCAAATGGAGCTCCTCCTGCTTGGATACTTTTAAAGATCTAACTCGTTCTGGCTCTCCAATTGTAACCCCCCCCCTTTTTAATGTTCTTGCAGGAAGGAAAAAGACAGCGGCATCTATTGTGCACATTACCTGCTTTTGAAGACAGCCTTTCTTAGTCTACAGTTTAATGACAAGACTTTCAACACACAAGGACGGATGACCCGTTAAGTGGAAGAACTTGCATCGCCTCGTGACACACATACCACAAACAAAGATGGGCGACACAGTGCTTCTTGTCCTTGTGTGTGTGTGTGCTGAATATCATGAACCTGACGACCCAGAGCCAGAGGCTGTGACACAAGCTGACACAAGCTGACAAAAAGCTCATCTCAGAGTGAGAGCCACAAAGAAATGTCTGGTAACATGAGAGCATCAGAATAATATATTGAATATTATCAACAAATAGATTATGATATATTATTTTTGGATAATATTATATAGAAATTCATTGGTGAATTCACAAGCTAGCAGTATCTAACTGTGTTTTATAGCTCTACTCTAACCAGCTCTAACATTGAAGTGGTGTACAGATATTATTGGAAATTGGTAATTGTACATCATTTTACTTTAATTGAATGTGTATCTTTGCAGGACTTTTACTTGTAACAGGGTATTTCTAGAATGTGGTATTACTGCTTTTAGTCATGTAAAATATTTGACTACCAGGCTTTTCTTACCGAGATAGGAGAAAGCTAAAACCTATTCATCAGACTTCTAGGGGTTCCTAAGAAATGCAGTTCTTAAAAAATAGGAAGGACAGCTCAGTCCCATTTCAGAAACTGGCTGTTATTTTTGGTACAATATGGACTGCGTGGCAACCATGCCAATCTAGCTCCATTTGGGGCAAGAGTCGATTTTTCACGAGTAATGGTCTGTTTAAGAGGCTACATTTATATTTGTTTTTCAGAACTTACATTTTTCGTGCAACTGCTCCCTCACTTTAGCGAGAATAAGCTGAGCAAAGTGCTCTCCACGCACTGAGCAGCTCCTAACTCCCACATATCTTTGTGTAGGTCTTGCATGCCACCATAAAGAGCGGTAGAACAGTAGGTTAAACTTGATTTCGCAGCTTGACCTCAACACCTGCACAGAGCCAAAGGTCAAAGGTGATTACATCATCTGAAATGATGCCTTCCTGTTTGGAGTTTCTGAGCAGAGGTCAATACAGGTAAACATTTTCAGCAGCTCTATTCATCATAAATCACTTGTCACAAAAGCTATAAATATGGTAATATCTTATCTCTTACAAAGATATGATCTTAATGGAGCTCACTCAGCCACAGCGAAAAGCGAACACATGACTCGGCAATTAAAACTCGTTTAGAAACTGTGATTTTCCTCTTCAGCAAACATCATGGTTTTAACTTCTAAACAAACACCCTGTAACTTACATTTCATAGCTCCAGCCACCTTCAATCAGCATCTTTTTATTTTATTTTTTACACAACACCTTTTAAGAGGTCAGCAACAATCAACCAGTGTCAGCTTCATGCATCATATGAGGGTCATAAGAGTAACATGCCCTGAGGAAAGCTTTTCTAAAAGCTATTTTTTGTGCTGTTAAAAGAAGCTGCGTGCAGACGGAGGCTTTTATCTGATCACCCAGAAACAGAATCCCCGTGGCTAAATTAAGGGGTTTGCATCCTTCTAAATGAATATCAATCTGTTATATCACCAAATAGGTTGTCGTTTGCAAAGCTCCTGATGGCAGACCCATGACCTTTGAAAATCTCCCTTTTTTTATCACTGTGCCACATGTTAATTGAGTGTGTGTGTGTGTGTGTGTGTGTGTGTGTGTGTGTGTGTGTGTGTGTGTGTGTGGCCTCTGGCAGTGAAGACGGCGGCTCAATCTCACAGGGTTAATGATGCCGCCAGAACGACAGCGAGGGAAGCAGCTGTGGTTGGGGGCGGGGGGCAAATGGATAGAAAAAAGATTAAATAAGAGAGAGACCTGATAATATCTCCTGTTGTGCTTCTCTGTCTTTGTTATGAATTTTAAAGTGATTATCTCATCCGCTGCCAGACTGATCCTATCAAAGTAATCACATGTTTAAAAACAGATTCATCCATACGACTTGTTAAAATTGCGTTAAATGCACGACTACTCTGGACAACTTCATAATAGACTCTTTAACACTAATGAATGGTTGGACATGCAGTACGCTGTGTTATCATGTTTACCTTATCAGAAATGTAAGTCTTTGAGGTTTTATAGTAACTTGTTTGACAATAACTGATGCCGTTGCCATGTCAGTTTGCTAATCTAATGTTTAGCAGACACTGTCAAATTGATGTGTGGTTTTTGCAAAGTTCTACAGCCTTATGTATATGTAAAAAGGATATGAAACAACTACAATAAGCACATGTTCACAAAATAAAGATATATTTTATTAGCATTTTAATATACATTTCAATCTTTGGTAGAAAGGTATAATATTTAGGCTGAGTGCCACAGACAGTTGGTGAAAGTGTTTTTGTCTTTTCACATGTGAACAGAAGGAACATTGTGGGCCTTGTCTGTGAAATGTATTGTCCTCCATCACCTCAAGAGTGCTGATTGATCGTTGATGACTCCTCCTATCCTGGGACACTTTTGTTCTGTGGGTAATCCACTAGAACCTGACACAATATAAGGTGACACTAGTAATTTATTTTGTCCCCTGCACCACTCAGACTAGTGGTAATGTGTGTCGTCTCTGGGAAAAGAAAAACATTACTCTAGAAATCTCAGCCGTTTCTTTTCTGTAATTGTATTTTGGCAATCCTAGCGAGGAAATGCCGTACATTCAATTCATTTTGTATTTAATGGAGTGTAAAACAAAACACAACGTTCCTGCATTCAGGCTGTAATGTTTAAATAAAGCTATACGTAGTAATAGCAGGCATTACTCATTACTAATCTAAAAAAGGGAGAATGTGCTGCTTCTGGAGGAAAAAACAAGACAAATGTGAGGTATTTGCCATATTTTGTAAACAGGAAGTCTCTCTCTCCTGAGGTTGCGACCATTTAGGAGTGACCGAGCTCATTAGTGAAGCTTTTGATCCTATCTCACATAGCAGAGCTGCTTTCAATATAAATGTTGTCATGCTATGTGACCAGATACTGAGACTGATACTCATTACTCAAACGCTTGAAATATCTGACATGACAATAATTTGTATGGAATTGCAGCAACATAATGAGTTTACTCTCAAAGTGCAGCATTAAGAGAATAGAAGGAATCAAGGGAGGGTTTGAAAACAATATCAAGAAACTCAATGCCCACAAGCAGCTAGTCAAGCTCATTGTTGTTTATTAAAAAAACGCCATAGGGATAGAACAGCTGAGCTATAATCTTTCGCAGTTCATTAGAAATAAATATCTGGTGGGAATAAAACCTTTTCCCATTAAAGAGGTGGGTTTTTATTGCTTTTGATACAGTTTAGATTATCTCATTCACACCGTCCTTTCAGTAACCAGCTTTTTTGCAAGGCACTTCCAAACCAAATAAAAACATTCCTACAATGACAATTATGTTGTGAGACATGATGACAGAAATGCTCAACCAAGCACTCTCAGACCCTCTTCTGACAACAGCTCATAAATTAGAAAACCAGTAAGGGAAAATGATTATGTTACTGTACGCTACACAACAGAAAGCACAGTGTGTTACGGTAAAGCATACTTCTCTTTCTTGTTGCGTTCCCTTTTAAGGAGGGGATATGAAGCGGATAAATGCTTGTTAGAGAGATTTTAAGATGTTTTTCTTAATTCAATATCCTTCAAAGTGCAGAAGCAGCAGTTACTCGGTGTCATAAGTTCACCAGTTATCAAAAACAGGCACTTTTCTTTCTTAGATAACTTAAGCAAAAGGGCTCCTTGTGTTGTGTGAATAATAGCAATAATAAGTATAATCAGTCATACATGGAGAGGAGACAGGAAAAAGCTTTAACATACATGTGTGAACTTTGTAAAGTAAAAATGAATGGTCTGTCTTCAGTGACATTCAGTAGATGAATGTTTACGCAAGATGTATTAGAGCGCCTGAAGGCACCATCAAGCTGACTAAAGCAACCACACACAGACATGGCAATATATTATTCAATTAGAAATAGCAGAAACTTGTTTAATACCCTGAAGTTTCAAATATATTAATGATGGTATTTACTTGAGTCCCTGCAAGTTATTTTATCACCCTCAAAAGATCTTTATTTTTTCCCCCTTTGTTATAACTCATTAGCATTCAAAAGCAGAATGAGAAACTACTTTGGAATTATGAATGGACTAAAAGAAAAAGCTCCTTTAATGTTTGTGAGAATTTATGTTTTATGTTTGAACAGAAGGCATTTAATTTGTATTTGCCAGAATTTGTGCTTACAATTATTTGGAATGTAAACCGTGTACTCTTTGAATTTCACATCTGGTGGATCAGGTGAAAATATCAAGCTAATTACAGGCTTCTTCTTTGCTATGTTAGGAAGTATTTTGAATCCTCCATCATTAAATGTTAATCTTTTTTTATGTCTAGACACCACTGACACCATCATCAGCTGATTAAATATTCTTAATACGTTGCAAGTTAAATCCACAGGATATATTTTACTCTCTGCATTAATGTAGCCCTGTGACAGTGTTTTATATAAAATAGAAAATGTTGGCAGTTTTCTTACAGAAGCCTAGTACAGCCTGTCCTTGTAGGAATTTTTGCATAAATAAACCATCATATAAACATAATTATTCAGGCAGCAGTTGTATTTGCTGTCCTTTATAACATGCCTGGGGGTGTAACTATTTGCATTCCTACCAATAACTGTCACTCACAGCACTGATGCATTATGTTTCTTAGAGGGGGCTCCGGAGTAGTTTCAATTGAAATTCCGATGAAAATAAGGTTTGTATCACATTCTTAAAAAAAGTGACATTCATTGTTTTCTTCTAGAAAAAATGAACTCAAAAAGGGTGTTGGGCTGGATAAAACATGTAAGAGATTTTAGAAAACATGAGCCAACGCCACAGTGATTTCCTCCTCTTTGGGATCGGCACTTATTTGAAGGGGCTGGGTGAAGCAGGCTGCTTTCATCATACAAGTTGTACCTGTCTCCATGCAGTAGAACACCCAAACGCTCAGAGTGAGGTTAGGGTGGCTGCTCAAGTCCTTTATAACTGCTGGAAGTTTGGTTGAGATGGAGAGCGGCTTCGACAGATCCATGATGTCACCGGTGACCACAGGTTCGTCTAGCAGCCACTCGTTACCTGGGAAAACAGGAAGGACACTTTTGTAATCCTAATGCTCTCATGGGGACAAAACCAACAGTCTGATGCAATCAAGCTCATCAAGTAACGGATAAAGTGTCCACAACACTAGGCTAGTTGTCTTTAGCTTAAAGCTAACATCTTTATGCTAATATTAAGCAAGTATTATGCCAACATTTGAGCAAATATGAACTTATTAGCACTAGAAGAAATCAAAAGTATTGGATAAAGTTAGATGTTAAACTGATTGCGCACCACAGTCATTAGGATACATCCTCTGGGGACCATGAATATCATTAAATAATACGCAATATGATATATGTCCGTGTTTACCAAAACGGTAGACCAAATGACAATGAAGGTCGAAAAAACTATTCTTATTTTCACAATGTTCCATGTTCTTAAATGTATGGTTGACTGGGCAAGGTGCACATCGTGTACTTGAGAGTCTCCAGACTGAGCACAAATGGATTCTTTTACAAGATCGCCCTCACAAAAGCCAACTGAATCAGTGAGGGAGAGGACATACATTTACTGAAACACAGGCTTTATTTTTAGCATCAGAACACACATCTGAAGAGACATGCCGACTGAATGATGAATGAAAGTTGAAAAGGGAATGCTCGAACTCGGACTGTGAGAAAATATTATGCCAGAGAAACCGTCAAATCCATGCCAGTGGTGATTAATGAAGCTGATGCCTAACATAAGGTCCCAGGGTAGCTATTTCTAAAAAGCCACTAAAAAACAATTTAAATCCGCCGTGCACTTCCAACTTGATCCATTAAAATTCCTGCCACCGCTCTGATCTGATCGACGTAAGTCTAGACCGGGCATAATCGGACAGCAGGGGGGGGGGGATCGAGTAACATAGCCTGGAAGCTAATTATGTGAAGCAAGGCATGTCGTCTTATCGAAATGTTCTAAAAATAACCCTCTGATATCGCTGACTGCATGCTGCGACGCTCACAATGATGGAAAATTGTTTCGCTTCAAACCTAATGAACAGACTATCACCGCTCACTAACATGATGTCTGCAAATCCCTTCAGCTTTAGACTACTGGCTGAATGTTGAAAAAAACCTTTTGAATAGTTTTAAGCTATAGAAATCAGATATTACATTTCCCATGCCATGCAAAACCTCACTTTGAGTCCCTGACTGATCTAAATATTCCTCCATCCTCCAACTAAGGACTTTTAATCCCAGGCGTGGGCCGGCAGAGTGAGAATGACTTTCTGTACAGTGAACACAACAGGAGGGTTAAGCATCATTCACTTCCAGCGTTTTCTGACAGAACCATGGATCACAGACCAAAATAAAGCAGAGAAGGAGAGGTTGAGAGGCTCCTATTCAGAACAGAGTTGTTAGAGCAGAGTTTGGGTTGCCATGACACGTGTAAAAACAACTTTTAAAAACAATTGCAAACAATAGCCGGGTCTTTGCTAAAAATGTATGACGCACTTTCATTAAAACAGCACATTTAAGTATGGAAATGGGATTTGTTGGTGTTCACTGTTATTTTCTTGCTAAATTCAAACCACTGCCCCTCAATATAACCTTTGCAGCAAGTCTTTTTCAAATCCAGCTGCCTTTGATGAATCGACTGCCTGATAAACCCCTCCCCTGAACAGTAGTCGTCCAATCATAGTTTAGCAACCTGGAACAGCAGGCTTTGAATTTCTCTGCATGTTGAAGCAGTGTGCTGTAGTAAAAGCCTGGACTCAGCATTAAAATAAATTGCATTCATTTGTCTGTGTCTTTACAAAACCAAAAACTCATATACGTACATACTCAACATAATATTCAAACGTTAGCATGTCAGGCTACAACAGTACCACTAAAGCCTCATCTGTAACTTCCCTTTATACTCTTCCTCTATAATCCAAGGCTTTCATGCTCTTTTATTTCCATGTCTTCTCCGTAGAAAGCCTCAGTGTTTTAGCGTGAGATCATGAATGAAGCCAGTAAATTCATTTTGAAAACCCTTTCTTCATCAGTCAGCTTTTTTAACCAACTCACAGAAATTATGTTTTAAACTAGCTGACAGCTGTGTCGATAATTGAGAGGAGTGCCTTTGTATATATGGATGAAATCAATAACCTATTGTTTCTAATGCGAGTAGTGTTGCATTCACTATGGACATTTGACAGGCGCAGCAGATGTAACAGAGTAAGGTCAAGTCGCCTTTAACGGATAAATGGAGAAGTACTTAAACGGGAATATACATTTGACATGCATGGCATTGGTAACAGCGATTGTCCTACCCTCAGCTGAGAGAGTCCAGCAGCTGGGGGCGTCCTCGGTGAGTTTGGTTCCTTCGGGAAGCGTCAGAGTGAGCGAAATGACGAGAGTCTGGCCAGCTGACACGACCACTGGTGGCATTTCCTTCCTGGCGGCCGATTTCGGCAGCGTAGGAGCTTTTGTAGGCTTTGAAGGTACTGAGTCAGTGCAGTCTGTAGAGATGGGGAACTGGACAGGAGAGACATTTGGGTGTTTCGATTAAAGAACAAAGAGAAAGTTATTGGCACTAGTGGAGCCCTTTCTCTGTAACCTTTTATCCAGACACCTCTAGCTTTAAGGGTGGATTAATCACACGCATGTGGACAAAATCAAAAGAGCTTTTCATACACACCAGTGAAACGGTCTTGGAGGACAGGTCCAGCACTTTGATTTGGTGGTTGTTGGTATCTGCCACATAGAGGATTTTGCCGTTGTCCCCCATGCAGATTCCTCCAGGTTCATTGAAGCAGGATGTGTTAAACTCGGGGCCCGCAGTATCTGCAGCCTCTCCAGTCCCTGCTAACGTGCTACACTGCTTTGTCTTTGGATCCACCACCTTGATCTAAACAAAAGGACACAGACACCAAAAGGTCAACATTGATGTTTCCTGTCTGGATCGAAAAGATTTGTCCATTCAACATCCCTGAAGGAAAGCATTACGACGACCAAAGCATGGGTCCAGCTTTGAACTACAGCCTTGTGACATGCAACAGTTACCTTGTGGTTGTAGGAGTCGGCCACATAGAGCAGGCTTTGTTCAGGAGACCAGGCCACACCGAGAGGATGCTGCAGCTTGGCGTCTACTCCTTTGCCGTCTAGATCCCCGAAAGCAAAAAGGTTCTGGTTCAGGAGAGATCAAAACAAAGATATGAAAACACAAAAAAACACCCAAACGGTAACTTGTGACCTGACGGTATGTGTAAATTCAACATTGGTCGAAGAACAAAGTGTCCTTTCTAATTTATTTAAAACCTTTTATGAAAAGAATAAAGAAGCCATTTAACCGTTGGGATAAAGAGCTTTCTTCTGAAAATTCAAGATGAATCCTTTAAAATAATTGTGTATTATTTCATTATTTTAAAAAGGTGTATAAATCATTCATACAGCAACAGATTCAAAATAGTAAATACTCCACATTTGTAAGAAATACCAGAATCATCTTTAACAAATGGCCGGATTAGTTAATATTCTTGAGTTGAGTAAAAACTGTCCTGTCGTCTTGTTTCAGGGATAAATGTCCTAAACAGATAAATGAATTACTTTGTGAAATAAACAGCTTTTGATTGATCTCAGCTGTATAAACAGAAGAATATCTGACTCTCCCTGAGGTCACTCAACAATGGCTGCTGAGAGGGAGATAGCAACCTAACTTGCTTTAGCACTTGCTTTCTTAACATTTATGAGAATTCAAGATATTTTCCTTTACTGTTTTGATTTGATAGAAAACAATGGCAGCTAAAAAGAAAACTGAATCTTAAGAGAAATGTGTTTGTTATGAAGTCAGCAGGAATGTGACCTCTGGGTCAGCTTGGGATGCAGCTGCTGGTGAAGGAAGTGTTCAAATTCAGACAGAAAAACTGGGAAAAGTACCGCTTGATAAGCACGGAAACACAACACGTTGCTCATACAAAGATTTCTACTGATCGAGACTTTGAGCTTATAAATGCATACAAATACAGGCATTGTAAACGCTTAGGCTATGAAAGGAAACACTGATAACAAAAACCAAAAATGTACATACAGATTTGATTGCTATACTATCATTATAAAATATGTTTCTTCCATCTGGCTCATTATGGCTTTGTAATGCAGCAAACACAGGTGGGTATAAAACAGAGGAGTTCTCTCAAGAGAAATCAAAAGAAAAGAGAAGTTCAGTTTCTAATTGATCCACAAACAAAGCTTTGAACCTGTCCCTGTTTGAAAGTCCAAATTGAACTTTTCAAAAATAGGAACATTGTATCCGGACTTTAACTCTCACAAAAGAGCTGCCGCTTCGAAAAACATTCTCCTCGCCTTCTGCTAAGCTGAACATTATGTCGAGATGATGAATGGGGTTAAGAGAGGATGTAAGCCCGCTCTTTACAGAAACACTGAATCGGACTGACTTGTCTAAAACCAGGTATTGTGCCGGTCTCCGCACTGAGGTGTTAAAAATCTCCTGTGAGCTGAAACTACGCTGGGGACACCTTGCCAAGCTGCAAAAGCAAGTGCAGCCAACACCTGCACTCTGTGGTCGTGTCATTTCAGAAAAACCTGCAAACTCATGAACACATTTTTCATTTATTCTTCATATTTTACCAGGGAAGTAACTTCATCATATTTACAATGGCATGTCTCCTGTATGTTGGTTAAATAGATTTTGCCCCTTTAACTTTGCTAAAATTAAATTTGATTTATTTGGTCGTTAAACTTGTACTGCCGGATTATATATATGGTTCTGTAAATGTGTCAGTTGGTTTTCAGGTGAACAAGCGAGCAAACACTTTTGTTCTTCCTCAAGTCCATGCCTTATTTAATGAAATCTTTCTCCTTCCAGACTTTATATTGAGCAACTGTAAACAAACGAAGTTAATTATTGTTTAGGACTGTCCAGTTAATTACTCCTGGGTCTCCAGGGTTACCACCAGGATCAGAGCTCTTGGGTCTTTCCAAGAATACACCGGTGTGTGACTGTTTCAAGCAACTTCAGGAGAACGGTGAGGAACGGAAAGTTCAAACCAAGAATCGTCTTGAGGCGTTGTTTCAGTTTTCTATCTTCTTAGAAATGGCCCTGAGTCCTTGTGCTTGCGTGGAAGTGATCCAAATCTTGGTGCAACCTTTTTTCTTCATAATTGCCAATGTAGTTTATTATTGTGAAGGTTAGAGTCATATTGTCATTTAAAGGTACAGCATGAGAGGTCATTTTGTTCTTGCAATCTGCTTTGGATTTCTTAACTAATGTGCATGGCATCCTCGAAGATATTATTAGATAGCTAATTACATTTTTACATAAATAGGAAGAAAACACTATGTAAAAGGTAATTTATGGACATTAAATTAACAAAAAAGGCAAACTTAATTTCAGCCACTTGGGGTTCATTTTGTCCTTGTCCTCTGTGGCTGGTTTGTATAAATGTATTATTCATAAACCACCGTAATATAAATCATGATGTAAACTAAAAAGGTATCTCGTAGAAAAGAGATAAGGTAGGAAAAAAGACCTTGTGATAAGAATAGAAAGGATTTAACAAATCACGAGGAATTGGTTAAAAGATAATAACTAAATTAAATCACAAGGGAAGAATGTTGTCAATTAATTGTGCTGGAATAGATAACCATGAGAATTAAGAACGAAGTCCATATCTTTGATGAAAGATGGGAAAAATGGGTAAATGATAGAACACAAAACATTTATAATGACCAGGTGGACAATTAATGTACGCATGAGTATTAATGTTGTACCCAATATGTGTAAACTATATCTAATAAATTAATATCAATGTGTTTTATTTCCCTTTCTTAACCTGATTTGTCAATTGTTATGTAGTTAATGTACTGTATGTATTTAAAAAAGGTAGGGTAGGTAAGAATGGAGAAACCAGCTCGAGTGCGCTTGAATTTGAAAGTACACAACTGGAAAAAATCTGCCCCTTCCTTCAGACTTCCTTACAGAGCCCCTCCTCCAACACACACGGACGTGCACATGACCAATGAGGGCACGAGATAAGTTTGTGCACAGATGGAAGACTGACAGGCAGGTGGGCCATCCAGTTATTTTAGCCGGGCAGGCTCAGATGATTGGACTAGCTTTTTACAGCGCCACGGCTTCCACAGATGAATTTTTTTTATGTATTTATTGTCAAAACACTTAATGTATTCATTGCCATCGGGATGTTAAGAGCATTCCATGGAATATAACAAAAAGTGTTTCTGAATTGAATAACCTACCCCACCTTTAAGTGCTAATTTGAATATGTATGCCTTGTAATGAAATACAAAATGTAAATAATAAATAATAAAAAATAAGAAATCATCAGCATCATGTTGACACCCACCAGTGGATCCCTCTCCCCCCCGACCAGCATCTTGACGGCTCCGTCCTTCAGGGCCAGCGTGCGGATGGAGGAGCTCTCACTGTCGGCCACGTACAGGCAGCTCCAGGGCTCCTCGGGGGCCGCAGCCAGGCCTGAAGGTTGGGCGAAGCCGGCCTTGTGCGGGTAAGAGTTGTTCCGGTTCTCCTCGCTGCCGCTGCCGGCCCACCGGACGCACGTCCCCGCCTTGGACTCACTGTTAACAACGTAACAAATGAAGAACATGATAAGCCACCTCAATATATTTTGCTGCAAAGGTTATATTTTGACATAACTACACTGTAGCTATGAACAAATGACAATAAAAGCCTTGAATCTATTTGGTTGTATTATACTGTGCGTATTTTTTTTGTAAATGTAAATATTTCTCTATATTTTATTGTTATAATCGTTTATTTTTTTTATAATCGCTTAACTTTTTGGTCCTTTCCTTACAATTTATCATCTTTGATTTTATTTATGTAAGCACCATATACACCAAGGGAAATTCCTCCTAACTGTGAAACTACTTGGCAATAAAACTGTTTCTGATTCTGATTCTGTTTTAATCTTTTGAATGAATGTTGTTTGCTTTTCTGAGAGGAGATTTATTAGTGGCTGCTGCCAGGCGGCCATGATGCTCATGCACCAGTCTCTCACCTTCCTTTTGGCAGTTTCCCATCATCCAGGAACAAAGCCCAGATCTGGTGGGTCCCTGCCATCGCTATCCACAGCACGTTATCCTCAGATCCGCCTACACATACACACAAAAATGTCAATGTCAGTGTAGCACTCCGATTCAGAAGGTGTAGGGTCCTCTTGATTTATCTATCCATACACATGGCGAATAAATCATGAATATGCAATGAGGGTTTGGAATGACTCTCAGAGGACAGTGTTAACTGGAGTTAAAAAGGTCCGATATCATACCCTCAGACCATGTGGTGATCATCCATCAAGCTGCACACAATGTGACCATGACTGATTACCTCTGGCTTACAGTCTGAGTGCAATGAGAATATAATTGGCTATAAAATATACAGAATTACGGCTTTAAATTCAAAGGACTATGATAAATATTTGAAAGAGCGTACTTCCGAAATGTAAACTGAATGTACAGTACACGCCACGGGCTGAACAAACGACTCTGTCGAAAGTACACAAGGTCACAAGGACATGCTTACATTGAACTACAACGGTCAGCTGATACAACACCACAGACTTAGAGAAGACACCTAATGGTTAACACATATTAACCTGAGGCTAGAAAGTTGTAAGATGTGCAGATGATTATCATTTTTAAGTAAATGTTAGTTTAAATCCCTTAGAATTTTTACTTTCTCCAATTGAAAGCTTTTTTTTCTGTTAATTGTTATAGAAGTCTTGATTTGTTACAATTTAAACTGCATTTTGAACAAATAAATACCTAAATAACAGAGGGTGTGGTGTGCTCCCAAAGTAAAGGGTGCAAGGAAGTTTATTCAAATTTTGGAATAAGATTCAACTTAATGACTCAAATATAAATAAAGCTTAAGTTGTGCATAATAACTTTCTCAACATTTCCTAATTATTCTAGCTTAGAGGACAAAACAATGCTGCTCAATAAGACAACCACATATACCGTCACCTTAGAGGTGTGTGTGTGTGTGTGTGTTGGAAGTCTGCTGGTCCGTCAGTTCTTTACTGACTGATTAGCCCTGAAGGCAACACAAGAAATGCACTTTCATTCAGAGACAAAAGGTCTGAGAGATTCAAAAGCTTTCTGCTTTGATGAAACAAAACAAAAAAACGATTAAGGAACAAACTCTGAACGCCCAAGGCAAAAACAACAAAGGCATTTAGGGACTGAGCTTGGATTTCGGAAAATGAAGTGGAGGTCTTAGATGACTTCATGATAATAGGAAAGAAATTGTCAGCTACTTTAAAGTTGTTTCCGACTTGAATAGTTTCAACTTATTATTGATTTCTCTCCCCAAAATGAGTCAGTCAAACCATCTAGATTTTACAAAAAGGTTTACAGAGTATCCCTCATGAATGAGATTCTATTGATTAAAACGTTATTCTAATAACTTAACTTGCCTTTTCGATTCTCCCTAAACAATTTATGCACTGATAAGTACACAATATCAATCAATTATGAA